GTTGGTCACATGCTGAAAGTACATTATTTTAGATGTATTGGGTTAAATAAAATATGCTAAAATTAATTTTGTTTGTATCTTTAGAAAAAAATTTCCCTGGCCACGCCACATAGCATGTGGGTTCTTAGTTCCCCAACCAGGAATTGAACCCATGCACCCTGCATTGGAAGCCTGAAGTCTTAACCATTGGATCACTAGGGATTTCCAATCTTGGCTGCTTCTTTCACTTTTTCTAATGTGGCTACTAGAAAATTTAAGCTCACAAAAGTGACTATCATTCTTATTCTATTGGCACTGATCTAAAACATGATGCTGATCTGGCAATGAGCACAGGCTGGTGCTGTTAGGGAAACTAAAATGGAAGTAGTCTTGTTCAGGCTTCAGAAGTAGGATAGCTGGCCTCTGACTGACTTCTGACCTTGCCAGGATCCTGCCTGGACTACATGCCTGGCTGCAAGCACACCAATTGTTACCAGCAAGGTAAGTGGCATTTAAGATAAGAAAGGGAGTGGGTCTTGGAGTTTCTTAAGCCACTGGGTACCTGGCCGGTTCCCCAGGGTCTAAGGAATCTTATGATTCACAAGGTGAAACAAATAGCATTGTAAATTTAAAGAAAAACCAGAGTGGCATGTTTGCAGTCTGGGATTATAAATGGGAGCCCCCAAAGCTGCAATTTGAAGTCTTACTCATGGAGTTGACACACAGCCTGGGACCCTTTCCCAGTTGGGACTCCCAGCTGTCCTTCGGGACTTCCCAGGGTTGTGAAATGTGAACACCTGGGTGTCTATTTTAGTCAACAGCCCACTCACTGAAATGGCTTTTCACGGAGTTTTCAGTGACAAAGAGAACAAAGAATTGCTGTAGCCTTATTCTTGGTGTATACATACAACATATATATCAACAGTTCACAGTTGCAGCTGGAAATGCTTTGTCACATGGTATAGTGTTAATATTTGTATAGTAAGATCTTGGATAAAACATTTGTCGATAGTTCATTTTGTTTCTCTCTGAGCATAACATGGGATTAACTTGTAAGTTTATAAATTCTTAACAGAAATGTAAGAAGGTACTCTGTGTTTACCAATGAAATTAATCAATTTTGTCCTGAAAGCACTGTTTGTACTTGTTCTGGGAAAAACTTCATTGGTTGATTAGAATAGTGTCATTGTGTTTGCTTGTTGAATGACTCACAAACTTCAGTGGTATCCTCCAAGTGGGAATTATAACTGCATGGAGGCCTTGTAGAGTCAATTTTGATCTAATCAAATTCAGATTTCAGGTATTTATTGTGGCACCTCTTATTCAGTTTCAGTTTCAACCACTTTGGTAAAATCATCACACCAGCAGATTTGCTTGACCCAGTAATGACACTCCACATTACCTGTGTGTTTGTAAGATTATTCTGATCTATAGGACAGATGCTACTGTTTCCATCACTATTTTATGCTTCAGTGAACACTTTTGAGGCACTGCTCCTTTTTAAAGAATGAATTGGAGTAGAATATAACCCAATAGCAATAGCAAAGGTTGCAAATTTGGTAAAGATAAACAAGCCAATGGTGTGAAACCAGGATGAATCTTGATAACTGAAAGTTATGTGACAAGCTGGTTAATGGAGTCCTTGTGAGAAATGCTTCACATTGAAAGAAGCAATGATTACTGAGAACAAAATGGATTTCTGTGAAATCATGGCAATCTTACTTCTCCAGTTCATGAGGTGTGATGATGACTGTTCCACTGCTTTTTCCTCTGAAGCCCCCAAAGGCCCTGTGGTCTGCGGAGAGATCTCTGTGTTCCCTGCTGTGGGGACACTTCAAGCAAGGAAGTCTCCCTGGAGGCAGGCAGGAGCCCACAGAGACCTGAGGATTCCACAGACACATCGGCTCTGACCTGATCTCTCAACAAAATGCCTAACCGACCTTCCTGTGTGCTTTCTTTGGATTCCTCAGCCCTGGAACCTGTCTGTCTGTCCGTCCCCAGGAACGACTTTCCTGGTGTAGTGACTGGCCCAGGGTCAGTGCTCAATAATCATAGGTCTTCTGCTCAGGTTATCTGGAGACTTCATTGATGAGGTAATCAGCACACTTGCTTGATGACGGAACACACTTTGCTACTGTGGGTTATGAAACACAATCAGAGTAGGGAGCGTGGCGCAACCAGATTCAGCAGCTCTGAGGAGGAAATGAGTCTGTGGCATCAGTCAAAAGCAGAGCGTGGAGTGAGGACGGTGACCTCATGGAAGGCATCTAGCAGCCCTGGCTGGTGCTGATGCTCAGAGACAGCCCATCAGTCTTGAGAAGATATTAGACACTTTCTGATGGGTAGAATTTATGACTGTAAAATGACCTTATTATTGAAATTCTAGCACTTCCTGCATAGCTCAGTCAGTAAAGAATCTGTCTGCAATGCAGGAGACCCGGGTTCGATTCCTGGGTCGAGAAGATCCCCTGGAGAAAGAAATGGCAATCCACTCCAGTATTCTTGCCTGGAGAATCCCACAGACAGAGGAGCCTGGCAGGCTACAATCCACGGGGTCGCAAGGGTCTGACACGACTTAGCAACTAAATCACCACCACCATTGAAATTCTTGTAGGAAAAAGAAACGTTATAGCAGAGAATGAAAGTCAGTTCCCCCATTGGAATAACAACTAATTAATTTTTAAAAATGAAATGAAAGATTATTTAGATTCTATAATGCTTTACAATTTTCAAAAGTTTCACATAAATGATTTCATGTAATTCCATAATAACCCTTTTATTTTCCTTCTTACCCCACCTTGTCTGTGTCCGCTCTTGCCTCTCCCCATTGGTAATTACTAGTTCATTCTCTGAATCTGTGAGTCTGTTTCTTGTTTTATTTACTTTTTATTTACTGTTTTTTTTGCCACTTGGCATGCGAGATCTTAGTTTCCAGACCAGGGATTGAACCCATGCTTGCTGCAGTGAAAAAAGCACAGAATCTTAACCCTTGGATCACCAGGGAATTCTCTGCCTGGTTTGTTGTATTTTTTTTAGCGAAATAACTGCTTTTGAAAAACTTGAATTTTTGGGGTGAATGCAATTATATTGCTAATTTAATACAAAGCTTCTTTTTTCCTTTAAGATTTTTTACGAATTTTTACAATATTAATTCTTTTTACTGTTTTGGTTTCTGGCTGTGAGACATGTGGGATCTTAGCTACCCGACCAGGGATCGAACCCACATCCCCTGCATTGAAAAGCGAAATCTCAACCACTGGACCACCACGGAAGTCCCAGGTCTTCTTTATCTTGTCTATAATCAATAAGCCTGGTGTTTTATGAGCAGTTTTAGTTTACAATGGATTGGAAAGTCCAGAGTATTCTCACATGCCTCTCTCCATCATACACAGTTTCTCCTATCATTGACACCTTGAGTTAGTGGGATGCATTCATTGAAACTGATGAACCAATAGTATACATCATTATTACCTAAGTTCATAGTTTCCATCAGCGTTCATTCTGTGCTGACTGTATCCTACGGGTGTTGACAAATGTATGAAGACACATACCCACTATTGTGTATCATACAGAACAGTTTCCCTGCCCTAAAAGCCCCATGCTTCATCTTTTTAACCTTCTAAAGCCACGCTGGGTTAGCCTTCCTGAAAGAGAACTGTGATGCAGACTTGCTCTTGCTGCAGTCAGCGCTGTCAGCGGCTTCCCTGTGACCCGCGAAGCACAAGCTTGCAGCACTCGGGCTTCTCACCCTCCAGCCTCACTTGTTTCCGCCACCGCCCCTCTCTCAGGGCCTTCGACTCCTGCCGCTGCTCTTTGACCTTCCCCACACGCGCCCCTCACCTCCCCACTCCCTGCCTGTTTATGTCGTTCTTCTCTCCACACGAAGGCCCGGGCCTTTCCCTCAGAGCTGCCTTCTCTCAAAGCCCAGCGCAGGAGCCCTCCCGCGATAGACTCTGTTCCCTTGAGGGAGTCATCTCCTGCTTCTCAGAGCCTCCCTGACGCCATCCCTCTGTCTCCTAAATGGCGTTTACAGGTTGACCTCACGTTACTGCACTTGCCAGATACTGCATTTTTTTACAAATTGAAGGTCTGTGGCAACCTTGCGTTGTCAGATGATGGTTAGTATTAATATTTTAGCAATAAGTTAGTTTTTAATCAAGGTATGTACATTTGTTTACATATAATGCTACTGCACACTTTAAATAGACTACAGGATATTGAAGGCATAACTTTCATAGGCACTAGGAAACCAAAAACTTCATGTGTCTCTCTTCATTGCGAGATTCGATTTCTTGCTGGAATCCAGAACCCAACCCAGCACATCTCCAAGGTCTGCCTGCATCATTTTCCATCTCGTTTAGTTGTACTTGTTTTATTTCCCCCAGTGCAGCATGGTGGGTAAGAGAATGTGCTCTGGAACCGAGGCCTTTCTTGCTGGCCTCTGACCTCAGTATTGGGTGTACACATACATAATGTGGGGACAGTTTGCATGGTGTGAACCACTTGGAGTTATGTGAGGATAGAATGAGTTAATCCTCTCCGCGTTGACGAGACAGCCTGGCCCCCCAGGAAGAGCTCTCAGATCATTAGCTGTTTGTTACTCCTCCGGTCTTCCTCCCACCACCCTCCGCCTGGAGGGCAAGCTCCTGGGGAGTCCAGGGCCTGTCACGTTCATCTCTGTGTCCTCCACACGTCAAGACTCGGGAGAGCCTGAGAGCAAGGGCTCAATAGATGCTTAACAGTTACACAGCTGGAGCCCTGCCGTCCCACGCCAAAAGCAAGTGTAAAAAACAAACCGACAAGACAGATCTCTGATGCTTAAAGCAATCTCCAGATGAACCAGCCCTGCCCTGCCCGAGCCCATTAGGGAGAACGTGGCCATGAACATTTTTGCTGTGATGATTACAGTTGAGTTTGCTGCGGCCCTGGGTCTCAGGGGATGGGGTGGGAGGCAGCTTCAGAGCTTTAGGAAAGGGCGATGGATGATGCCAGTGTTTTCAGAAACGGGAAAGAATCAGTACCTGGTGTAGGCTCCAGGGGAAACCTCTGCCTGCTTCTGGTCCCCTTGGTGAAGGCGGCAGCACTTGACCAAAGGCTGGAATCCCAAAGGCAGGAGCTGGGCTCCCAAAGATGGAAATGCAAAGAAGAGAGACACCGTTCTACTCAGCAACCTAGAGGAGGAGGGACAGCTTCTTTGGTGTATCTTGTAACTGCACCCATCACTGCACCTACAAATATTTCTATTCTGCTTCCTCTGATACCAAAGAACAGCCAGGCAGCAATAGTGGGGCTTCCTGCCCCGCCTCTTCTTCAGGGAACTGGCAAAGAGACTAAACAGGATTTGGGGCCAGTCTGGAAAGACTGCCCCGGGGTCAGCACCCTTAAGCTGTGTGCTATTCACAATAGCATGGTACACTTGTGGGTGTTCCGACACCTGAAACATTAAAGCAGCTCATAGGAAGGAAGGAAGGATGCTGGGGTAGGGGAGAGTGGGGTGGATCAGAGGGGACAATTCCATCCGAGGGAATGGCTGAGGAGAGCTGCCTGTGCTGACTGTTTCGAGCGCTGCGGACGGTCCCCAGGGAACTGGGCCTGCTCAGGACCTTCACTGGCTGGATGAATAGTTGCCTTGAGGACTGACAGGCCTGTTGGGACAGGGGGAGGAGGTGACATCTGGCAGCTTCGGATGGGAGCCCGCATGACTGGTTCATTTATTCCCATCGTTCAGTTTGGGCCCAAGAGACAGCTTGTCCCTGTGAGCTGGTTTTGGAAAACGGGAGGGAAATTTCCCTGCCTTTTTTTTTTTTTTTTTTTTTGATCTCTTCGGTGTTCAGAGTTTCATCTCTACTGAGGCTGTAACGCTCAAGGCTGCATTTGGGGAGAGGGAGGAGAAGGGATGCCAAGCGTGGTCAGAGCAGAGCAGTCTGAGGGCATGGATGGGGAAGGCAGGGTGTGCAGAGACGAAGAGAGGGCTCCAACGGAGGAGGGAGACTGTGTGGGCTCAGGCCTCACCTCTGGGGCCAGCTTCCCACGGCCTCCTGGAGGCCTGAAAGTCCTGACCTGACTCGTAGCCATGGACGCAGCTGCCATCTGTCCCCAGTCCTGCTCTTTTCTGACCCTCTCTCCACCTCCCACCTCACCCCCCCCCCTCCTTGCCAAACCCAGACTGGCTTCATTTTCCTTCCTCTGTGTTTTCACTTACCACTGGCTTTACAGTTCTCTGTTTAGGTGGCCAACTCGATCATGAATCTGTGTGCCTGGGGCCAGGGGCAGGGCCTCATTCACCCCGTGACCCCATGCCCAGCCCTGCACCTGGTACATGCCAGAGCCGAGGAAGTGCTGAGCAGATGAGTGTGGCCGCCCATTGTGACATATGGACATCCTCAAGGTCACAGAAACAGCTGTGTGACACTGTCAGGGGATCATCTCCTTGCTTGAGGTTAATGGGTCGAGGATGGAAAGTTTGTTTTTTTAAAGTGAGCTTTAAATAACTGAATTGTGAATATAATTTCTAGTCGGTCGAATTTTTCCTTCTGTAGACATACGCAAAGTTCAAAGGAGGTGTCAAAACAGTTAAATAATAGGAGACAGACCCTTGCTCCCCGCATCTGCCTAGAAGGTTGGGTTGGTTGTACTAACTGAAAATGTGAGCCAAGATGCTGTGCCCTGGACTCTGCTCTTGCCCTGACATGGCTCCTTGCTCAGGAGATGGTTACAGTCATCACCGAAAACTCCCCAAAGACCATTTCCTTAGAAAGGAACCTAAAGGAGTATGATCAGTGTTTTCCAGACACACAGAATCAGTAGACTAAGGACTTCCTGGTGGTCCATTGGTTAAGCATCTGCCTTGCAATGCAGGGGACTCAGGTTCAATTCCTGGTCCGGGAACTAATAGCCCACATGTTGCCGGGTAACTAAGCCTCTGTGCCACGACTAAAGAGAAGACTGCATACTGCAGCAAAATGCTCATGTGCTGCAATGAAAGGCCCCGTGTGCCGCAACTAAGAGCTGACGCAGCCGAGAAAGAAGAACAGAACCAGTAGGAGACACACACATGCAGGGTTGGCTCTTATTATGCTCGAGCTTTGTGTCCACAGATTCAACCAACAGCGGATCAAAAATATTAGAAAAAAATTCCAGAAAGTTTCAAAATGCAAAACTTGAATATGATCTGTTCTGACATCTATTTACACAGTCTCTACATTGTATGTATAACTATTCACATAACATTTATACTGTGTTAGGTATTACAAGAAATCTCTGGATGAATTAAAATATATGGGAGGGTGCAAGTAGGTTTTCTATACGGAACTTGAACATCTGAGGATTTTTGTATACACCGAGGGTCCTGGAATCAACTCCCCACAGATACAGACAGAGGTGTATAGAAAAGATGATTTATTATGCAGAATTGGCTCACATAGTCATGGAGGCCAAGAATCTTTGATCTGCAAGTTAGAGATTCAGGAAACCTAATGGTGTGATTCAGTCTGAGGCCAAGGGTCTGAGAACTAGCGGAGCTGACGGTGTAAATCCCTGTCCCAGAACAGGAGATGAAGTGAGATATCCCAGCTCAACAGTGAGGCAGGAAAAAAGGTGGACAAAATGGTCCTTCTGGTGTCTTTATTTTATTCGGACCCTCACTGGATTGGGCGATGCCCACCCACATTGGGGAGGCAGATCTATTGATTCTGAAACACCCTCCCAGATATGCCCAGAAAAGATGTTTAATCTTGGCACCTCCTGGCCAGTCAATCTGACACAAAGAACTGTCCATCATCATTGGGTAATTAAGTAGTCTGGCTAATTGGGAGTCATCAGCTTTTAAAAATTGTGGTGAAATAAATATAACATAAACTTTACTATTTTAACCATTTTTTAAGTCTAGTGGCATTTAAGTACATTCATATTGTGCAGCCATCATGATTATCCACCTCCAGAACTTTTTCATCTTCCCAAACTGAAACGGACCCCATTAAACAGTAATTCCCTGTTCTTCGCTCCCCTAGCCTCTACTTTCTGCTGTTATGAGTTTTGATTCCTCTAGGTACTTCATACAAGTAAACCATACAATATTTGTCCTTTTGTGACAGGTTTATTTTGCTTAGCATGGGGTCTTCAAGGTTCATCCATGTTGTAGCGTAAGTCAGAGGTTCCTTACTTTTTAAGGCTGAATAATATTCCATTGTTACTGAATTCGGGTTTGGCTAATTCTAGGCACCAGTCAGGGCAATCAGGCTTCAGGTTCATTTTTACCTGTGGGGATGCAGGGGTAGCGTTGGTGGTGGTGCTAATGGTGACCAGGAACGACAGCAGATGAGTTGCAGTGAGATGGGCGTGGCCTTTACAGCGACCCCAGTGGATTTTATGTGCCTAAGCTTATTGACTTTTTCTAATACAGACTTGATATTGTGGAGGCTGTCTTCCCCTAAGAGGAAAAATATCTGAATTTTTGTGGCATTTTTAAGATACAGAGAAGTTTGCTATATTGAGAGTAAAACATAACTCCCTAAAATAATCTAGGTTTTATCTCCTATAAATTGGCTTAATGCCAAGTTGTGTTGTTCAGTTGCCAAGTCGAGTCTGACTCTTTGTGACCCTGTGGGCCGCAGCACACCAGGCTAGCCTGTCCCTCACCATCTCCTGGAGTTTGCCCGAGTTCATGTCCATTGAGTCAGTGAGTTGTCCTCCAGTCTTCCTCATATTGGACACCTTCTGACCTGGGGCGCTCATATCGGTGTCATATCTTTTTGCCTTTTTATACATTTCATGGGGTTCTCACGGCTAGTACACTGGAGTGGCTTCCATCCCTTCCTCCAGTGGATCACGTTTTGTCAAAACGCTCCGCTGTGACCATTCTGTTTTGGGTGGCCCCACACGGCATGGCTCATAGCTTCTTTGAGTTACACAAGCCCCTTCATGAAAAGGCACTCATCCATGACGGGGAATGCCAAGTTGCTTTGTTTTAAATAAATGCTTGGACGTGGGCTATCTCCTCTCCGCCGCTCGCCACTCCAGCACCACACAGCCACCCCTGGTCGCTTTCAGGGTAATCCAAGTCTATGCCCCACCAGTGCTGGAGAAGCTGAAGTTGAACGGTTCTATGAAGACCTACAAGACCTTTTAGAACTAACACCCAAAAAAGATGTCCTTTTCATTATAGGGGACTAGAATGTAAAAGTAGAAAGTCAAGTCATGTAAATCCGTGGCTGATTCATGTCAATGTATGACAAAAACCACTACAACATTGTAAAGTAATTAGCCTCCAACTAATAAAAATAAATAAAAAAAAAACAAATGATCAGTTAGACATAATAGGTATCTATGCGTCATTTCACCCCCCAAAAAATGAATTTCACCTTTTTTCTAAAGTCAGAAGGTACATTATCCTGGATAGATCACATCCTGGGCCATAAATCTAGCCTTTGTAATTTTAAAAGCATGAAATTATTTAAAGCATCTTTCTGGATCAGAATACAGTAGATTAGATGTCAACTACAGAAAAGAAGCTATTAAAAATACAAACATGTCAATGTATGACAAAAACCACTACAATATTGTAAAGTAATTAGCCTCCAACTAATTTTAAAAAATACAAACATGTAGAGGCTCAACAACACACTTCTGTATAATCAACAGATCAAGGAAGAAATAAAAATGGAAATCAAAATATGCATATAAACAAATGAAAATGAAAACAGGACAACCCAAAAGCTATGGGATTCAGTAAAGGCAGTGTTAAGAGGGAGATTCATAGCAATACAAGCCTACCTTAAGAAACAAGAGAAGCATCAAATAAAAAACCTAACTTTACACCTAAAGTGACTAGAAAAAGAAGAAAAGAAGAACCCCAAAGTTAGTAGAAGGAAAGAAATAATAAAAATCAGAGAAGAAATAAATGAAAAAGAAACGAAGGAGACGATACCAAAGATCAACAAAACTAAAAATCGGTTCTTTAGGAAGATAAATAAAATAAGCAAACTATTAGCCAGACTCATCAAGGAAAGAAGAGAGAAGAATCAAATCAATAAAATTAGCAATGAAAATGAAGAAATCACAACAGATAACACAAATACAAAAGATCATAAGAGACTACTATGAGCAACTAACTATATGCCAATATAATTGACAATTTGGAAGAAATGTCAAATTGTTATAAAAGTATAACCTTCCAAAACTGAACCAAGGAGAAATATAACATTTTAACAGACCCATCACAAGCATGGAAATCAAAACTGTAAAGAAAAATCTTCCAACAAACAAAAGCCCAGGACCATATGGCCTCATAGGTGAATTCTACCCAAAAATTAGAGAATAACTAACACCTATCCTACTCAAATTCTTCCAGAAAATTGCAGAGAAATGTAAATTGCCAAACTCATTCTATGAGGCCACCATCACCCTAATACCAAAACTAGAAAAAGATGCCACAAATAAAGAAAACAGGCCAATATCACTGATGAACATAGATGCAAAAATCCTCAACAAAATTATAGCAAACAGAATCGAACAACATATTAAAAAGATCATACATCATGAACAAGTGGGTTTTATCCCAGAGATGCAAAGATTCTCCAATGTTTGCAAATCAATCAATGGGATACACCACATTAACAAACTGAAAGATAAAAACCATATGATTATCTCAATAGATGCAGAAAAAGTCTTTGAAAAAATTCAACACCAACATGTGATCAAAACTCTCCAAAAAGCAGGCACAGAAGGAACATACCTCAACATTAAAAAGTCATATACAACCAACCCACGCAAACATTATCCCAATGGCAAAAAAATTGAAAGCATTTCCTTTAAAATCAGGAACAAGACAAGGGTGCCCACCTCACCACTACTATTCAACATAGTTTTGGAAGTCCTAACCACAGAAATCAGAGAACAAAAGGAAACATATCCAGATTGGAAAAGAAGTAAAACTCTCACTGTTTACAGATGACATAATCATCTACATAGAAAAACCTAATGACACCACCAGAAAATTACTAGAGCTAATCAAAGAATAAGTTGCAGGATATAAAATTAATACAAAGAAATCCCTTGCATTCCTATACACTAACAATGAGAAAACAGAAATAGAAGTTAAGGAAACAATCCCATTCACCATTGCAATGAAAAGAATAAAATACTTAGGAATAAATTTACCTAAAGAAACAAAAGACCTATATATAGAAAGCTATAAAACACTGCTGAAAGAAATCAAAGATTAACAGATAGAAAAATATACCATGTTCATGGATTGAAGGAATCAAGATAATGAAAATGTGTATACTAACCAAAGCAATCTATAGATTCAGTGCAATCCCTTTCAAGCTACCAATAGTATTTTTCACA